CGCATTATTTTAAAAAGCTTGGATTGGAGAGGCGTTAGGGATTATTTTAAAACGCTTGGATTGGAGAGGCATTAAGGATTATTTTAAAAAGCTTTGATTGGAGAGGCAAAATTGTTTTTAAGATTTACGATGACTTGGAAGGATTTCAGAATTGTGTCATGGTTGATGCAGTATTGGAATTTCCGATGATGTCAAATTAGTGTAATATCGATGCATCTGATATCAAATTGGTGTAGTGTGTGATTTGTAGATCTAGGAGATCGATTAACTGAGCGCTTAAGCAATCGAGTGGGTTGTTAGTAGGAGAGATATATAAAAGATAATCCATGAAGGCAGATCCAGTCACAAGTTTTTCGCAAGAAGGATTAGATTTAAACTTTTTGCTTTTCTGTTAGGTGAAGAATCTTTGTTATGAAATTTATAGGACGTTATAGAAGATAATCTAGAATGGTCATTTATCCAGAAAAAGTTGCAAATTAGTTGTTTTCCAAACGCACAAACTAGACAGTAAACAATTTATCCAAAACAGAAGCAGAATAATCATTTATTCAGAAATAGTTGTTTTTCAAACGCACAAACCAAATAGTTAGCCAGTTTATCAGGATAAGTTGCTGATAAGCATATTATTAGGATAAACTGTTTATCTGGATAAGCTAGATAAGTTGTAGCTGCCCCAAATAAACCCTAATTAGTTGCAAACAATAATGTTTTGAGTACTATGTGATTAGAAAAAAAAACTACCTTCTACATGGAAAGAATTTGCATGCGTAAGACGTACGCAGCGCTGCGTACGATAGCCAATAGGATGAGGCCACGTATGCATCGGCGACCCCACCTCTTGTAAATTATAAAATAAATAGGTGTTTTGTCGCGCGTGACCCATCGACCCGGCCCAAGACGGTAACTTGATTGTAAACGCTCTGTACCCATGCAATTCCTCCCGCGGTCGGCTTCCAGTAATGCGTGTGTAATCCCATTGTAACCCGTGTGTAACCTTCCCCCCTCTGGCAGCAGTACCGCGCGTATAACCTGAATGTAACTTCCCTTTAACCTCGTCGCCGCGGAACCGATAGTGTACCCTTCGTGTAACTCGATTGTAAGTGCGATGTAACAGACTATTAAGCCCGTCGCCGCGGAGCCGCGCGCTTAATTACCTACTTGTAACCTTTGTATATCCTCCGTAATAGTGTCTTATAACTAATCTTGGAAAATATAGTTGTGTAAAATTTATAAAGTTGGCTCTGTTTTACAACAGATGTGGTATTTTAGTAATAATAACATTAAGCTCTTAAGATTGAGATTCTACGCAAGTATACATATCGTTATCAAGTAATATAAGACTTTCTGTTTAAGTCCCAAATATCGATTTCACAGGGAAGGTTTAAATTTGAAATAATAAATTAACTAGAAAATTTACAAAAATCAAACGAAATTACTGTCACTAATTTCGAATGTTAAAGATAATATCAAAACTAAATTACTTACTACTAACAGAATTTAAAAGCAGGGTTTAAAATTAATAACTACTAAATTATGTTTATGTGATGAAGTTTTCTAATATAAAAAAACATTTTTTCCACTACAATGAGTTTTGGTGAAGTAAGGTGAAATAAATGGTTTAGATATGTATTGTGCCAAATATGAGCAATTTAATTCTTTACCCTGATTGGGTGTTATAGAAAATCATTGACTAATCTTAGGTTTAGTCCCTAAATTCGTGGCTAGGCTAGGAGAATATTGGCTCCCACTCCAGAGCTCTCACTTCCCTTTCCTTGAAGGCTAACTCTCGTTTTAGTTTTTAAACACTAAGATTGAATTGGAGATTTTTAGTCTGTCACCCTAGAATTCTCCAATTCTACACCCAACAAAGTATATTTTCCTATATTTGCACTTAATTTCATGAACGAGATACTTTTTCATGAACTCAAATGTAATTCTCACTCTGTTGTAGAGCTCATACTTCATTTCTCATATCATATGTTTTACAACATAGTTTAACAATTCAATTGGTCAAATCAAAAAGTAAATTAAGAGTGAAGTTAAAAAACCATCACAATTTATTTTAAATTTTAAAATTTTTTTATTTTAAATTTTAACATTGGTACATCCACATTATCTCTTCATTTCACGATATCTCAGAGTAGGGGGAAAAATAAATGAATCTACTCAGACTTCATGAGAAATATACGACAAAACATAAATTTCATATATAAAAGAAAGTGTATACAACAATAATAAACAAACTAAACAAACAACATTTATCTGAAACTCTTTCTCAAAGCAAATCCTTTGTAGTTTCTCTTAGGTAATGTAGGAAGAAAAAATCTCTCACTTCTCTTCCTCTCCAACACTTCTTAGAGAAGAATTTATACTTAAATTCACCGTAAAAACTCAAAACTATAAAAACAATAACTAACTAATGGTGTGGAATGATGTGAAATGTAAGTGTGTGAAGAGGAAAATTGAAAATTAGTGGAAGAAGTTGAAATGGTGCGAAGAAAGGGGAGTTTTCTGATCGAATTTCGGCCCTAAATAGAGCTTAGGTCGGTTCTCCAATAGGTGCATCCAAAAACTCTTCAAAAAGCTTCCAAATTCGTCGAATCTTCTAGAAACAGGGCTTCCACCGACACTGGCGCCATCGGCGCCCATTCTGGCACCATCGGCGCTAGAGGTGCGTAATTAAATCCCATGTCTCTTTCAAATGACGTCGTCGGCCTCCAGTCTGGCACCGTCGGCGCTGAACAAATTTTTAACTTCTATATTTTTACTCCAAATTTCATACTTTTTGCTTTCTTTTTGCTCCAAGTCCTCAAAATCAATAATTTACAATAAAATATAAAAAATATCTTCCACTAAAGTCCAATATCACCAAAAATGAGTATAAAATATGGGTTTAAGAATGCATATATTTTTGGTATATCAAGCACTGAGATATGTTAAGGCCCTATGCTGAAAGGAGCGCTCGGAAAATCACAACTATGATAGGGAAATACAAGGATCTTGTTTAGGTATCCTCTAACAATAGTCTAACCTAGTTCCTCTAACACTGAACTTAAGGCTTTCCTAGAAAGACAATCACAAGAATGGAAAGGATTCACCTACGCGAAGGTTAAGCGATGTCCAAAGCTTTAAAACCCGACCAATTGCTTTCCACAAATGACAACACGACGTTGGGAGGCTCCATCAAAGGGAGAAGAGGAAAATATGGGAGCAAGAGGGAACCACACGCTCTTGCCGTTAGAAGAACGGGGAAATTCCTAGAAGCTCTAAGGTTTGGAGGCTCCACCAAAGGGAGGAGAGGAAGACGTGGGAGCAAGAGGCATCTGAGAGCATCACTTTACAACTCAAGACAATTAATTTCAACAATTCAATATTAAAACATGCACTTAAACATAAGTACAAATTATATTAGGAGTTTGAGAGAGAAAGAGATCCCAAAAGAGAATGCCCAGAAAGAGCTTGAACTTGATTAATACTTCAATCTTTACATATCCTCCAAATTGATTCCATAATGAAATTTACTATCTTGGTGTTCATGTAATAATTTCCTTATCATTTCATTTCTTGTATGTTGGGAACAAAATGATATGAAAACTATGACAAAATAACACAACAAACATTAAAAAAAGTTAAAGAAAAAAACCCCAGTGACTCTTAAGTTACCTGTTACTGGAACCTTTGTAAATAAGTAAAACTTTTTTTAATCATAAATTAAAAATATAAATATGTGATTTTATATTTTTTGGAACTTTTTTCAATTGGTAAGCACCCCAACTTAGTCTAGTGAGATTGATCATCATATTTGTGGTTGTTAATAATAACTTAGCTTGCAAGAAATATTTAGCAAATCATTTAGATGAAATTACTCAAAATTTATAATTATCATATCACTAATAAGCTACATATCATTCACCAAGGCTTAAAGGATCAATAGGAAGAATTAGTTTTTTTTTCCATGATTTTAAAAATCGGACTGGACTAGCCGGTTCGACCGGTTCAAGCGTGAACCGGTCTTTTAACCGGTTCGACTTAATCTTAAAACAATTTCTGCATAGAACCAGAATTGTAATGGTCAGAGTTGGGGTTAAACCGGTGAACTTGTCCGATTTTTAAAGAACCATTGATCAAATATTGTTCGATTTTAACATTTGATTTTGATTGGGTGGCTCGAAATAAGATATTTAAATTAAAAGTGGAGAAATTTTCCTCTCTCAAAAATTTGATTTAGAATATTATTCGAAATATTATAAGTGTCTTAAATTAACATATTATTTATTGAATCCAAAAAATATTATTATTACATCATTTAATTATATTAAAATAATATCATCCAGTTCAAATTTTGATTTAATTATTGAATATTGAACATCTCATTCCTCTGGTTTGATGTCATGTCTGATTTTCATAGCATTGGTTTTTTTATTATTGCATGCATGCAAGAGTTTGTGAATAAATTGGGTGTGTCATGCGGGTGTGGGATAATGTAAGGGATCAGGTTTTATTGTGTTTATTTTAAGTTTTTTTTTTTTAATTTTTCCTTTTAAAGGAAGTTAATCATCTTTGGAAGGTATTAGGCAAAGGGCCCCTGATACTTATTTAAATATTCAGGATTTTGAAAAACAATGGTTCTTATTAGTTCACAAGGGAAGAAGAATTGATTGAACGAAAATGATGCGGGCTTTAGTTTATTGTAATTTGTTGTGATAGATAATCTTGTGTAAATTCTTTTATTCTTATTTGAAGTTCCTGCCAGAAGCGCCTTAAAAACCATCTAGTTTTTGTAGAAAGTAAGATACACAAATTATATGCTTCATATTTAGGGAAATCCTTAATGTTGCTTAATGAGATAAATGCAGATTCATATAAACTTTTATGTAATGATGCTCCTTCTCGTTTTTCTTATTTATTTTGGCATCATTTTTTGTTAGTTTCAATATTGTTTCCTTTTTCTTTCAACTGTAAATCAAACAATATTTGTGACTACTAAATTGATAATGTAGGCAAGGCATGGAACTCGATCTCCCACTAAGAAGCGGATTAAAGAGTTGGATCAATTATCAATTCGCTTAGATGATCTGCTTAATCAGGCAAAACATGGAGGGAAGAGCCATTTGAACAAAATTCCATCCTGGTTGCCTGGTTGGCAATCTCCTTGGAAAGGTAGGCAGAAAGGAGGGGAGCTAATAAGTAAAGGAGAAGATGAACTTTATCAGCTAGCTTTAAGAATACGGAAAAGATTTCCAGAATTGTTCAATGAGGAATATCACCCGGATATATTCTCAATTAGAGCCACTCAGGTAACAACATTTCTTACTAAGGCATATAACAACAATATATGTTTGATTTAATTAACAGAAGCACTCTCGAAACAAAATTTCTTCCAATTATTTAATCTTAACTATTTATGTGCTGCTGTTTTGGTTTTATGCTAAACTTCTAGTCTTCATTCTACTTTTGGGATAGAGGATACATCATTAGCATCCGTCTTTTATGGAATATTTTGCCATTGCAGCTGCTGTGAATTATGATATAGCTGAAATTACTCCTAGAATTAGTAGTGCATTTCACTCTTAGGAGAAAAGGATGGCAAGGAAGAATTTAAAACGCATTCTGGACCGAATCAGTCGAAATAACACTAAAATTGTAATGAAAAAGGGTAGGGATTGAAGGAAATATTGAGGGTTGAGAGGTGGACACAGTTTTTTTTTAATGTAGTTTTATACTAAGTAATGAAATGAATACCATATAGACAACTTACAAGGAATTGCCAAAAAAAAAAAACGTTAAAAACAAAAACAGAATTAAAGAACACCTTATAGAAAAAGAGAAAGTGACCATCTCATAGTTGAGGAGATCCTTAAAAAGCTATTATTTAAAGTATTTAACTTGTATCCTGGTGATTCTTAAGTAATGATATATATATATATATATATATAT